CTGTCCGACAATGAAAATCCGTTGTATTGTAAAATTCGTTATATCAAAATTCGTTGTAGAAAGAGTTGACTGTAATGTTTATTAAATAAATTTTAAATTATTCTTTTTGTATTTTTACTTATAATTATAAACTTTTATAAATTTAATTAATATTAGTTTAAAGATTTTAATTAGTTGTATTTATTATTGAAATAATATCTAATTCCAATATATTATTAGTATAATTTAAAATAAATAAATAAGTTAATCAATATTTAATTGGATTATTTATTATAAAACCAAATTTTTCGATACAAAAATAAGGATTGCATATTTAATTAGTAAATACATTTGACCGGAATGTTCCTAAAATAGAAATTCAACGCGATCAAAATATTAATGTTTAATAAGCACCTTTATCTCCTTTTTTTCTCACATTCTTTCTATTTTGGTAACAGTTTCCCACACAAAAGAAATGTCTTTACTATTCTTCAAGAAAAAAATAATTTTCCTCTACCAAGCGCTAAGGCCTATCCTTTTTTTGTTGGCTTATGTCGTAAAGTAAGTATTTTCTCATTCTACAATATAATGACGATGTCAATCCATCATAATATACTAGAATTTCCAACTGGACTGCATGTCTTACTTGTTTGAAGGTTCCATGATGTCGTATAGATCGTTCGTGACTACCAAACGCTCTTATTATGTTGAAAGCCTCTTGCTATTTTTTCTTTGGAAGACAAATCAAACTTTTAGTTGGTTATACAATGCCAAAATACTTATTAAGTTTACTTATTCAGTTTATTGACTATTTTTTCATTTTCTTAGTTAGAAAATTTCTTCACCTGCACTAAGAATCAAATCGGGTTAGTCTCCTACTCCTTCTTTCTGTCTATATTATAAGAACTGGTGGACTATGCTAAAATGTAAGTATTTCCTCGTTCTACAATCTAACGACGATGTCAAACCGTTCCTTTGCTGAAGCCTCCTTCCGGATTGCATGGCCTTTACATGCTTTCATTAGTTTGGAGAGCTGATGACGCATACGTGAGGATCGTTCGTGGCTACCAAACGCTCTTATTGTATTGAAAGGCCTCTTCTATTCTCTCTTGCGGAGACAAATCAAACTTGGGTTGGTTATAGTTTGCTATTTTCCCTTGCGGAGACAAATCAACTTTGGTTGGTTATAGCTTGCTATTTTCCCTTGCGGAGACAAATCAACTTTTGGGTGGTTATAGCAATGCCAAAATACTTATAAGTTTACCTATTCGGTTTACTGATTTTTTTTTTTACAATTTCTTTTTAGTATGAAAAATAGTTTCTCACTTGCACGAAGAATCAAACCGGGTTGGCCCCTTACTAACGACGATGTCAACCGTCCCTTTGTCGAAGGTACTCCTTCCGGATTGCATGGCCTTTACATGCTTTCACTTGTTTGGAGAACTGACGACGCATATGTGTGGATCGTTCGTGACTACCAAACGCTCTTATTGTATTGAAAAGGCCTCTTGCTATTTTTTCCCTTGCGAAGATAATAATAAAAGTTTACGTTTTTTAAATGTTAAATACTAAAGATTTTTTTAATGTTATTAAATTATTTGTTGAAAAATTAAATGTTAAATAAGTGAATATGTATACATCTTAAATTCAGTAATATATAACTTTTAAATCAAGTTTAAATTTAATATTTGTATTTATATCAATTGTTTTTATTGATGATTATAAAACATATAATTATTACGAGAAAAAATTTAATACATTATTATATCTATAATTATATATTATTTCTTCAACGAATTACTACCACAGATACGATGAAATCAAATCACTAATCGACAATTGTTTGAGTTACAGACTCATCTGTCGAAGATAGAGACCTTGTTAGTTCTCGTGAATCAAATAAATATGAAAATCCATTATAACTTACCCGCAGTCCTATACGCCGATTCTGGAATGTCATCTGGAATTATCGAGGGCGATCTTAAAGATTTTTAGACCGATCTTTAAACCAGTTTCAGTAGTAGCATAAAAAGCAAGTCGAATTTAATTACAAAGTGAAATAGAATCCCACCAATTGGTAAATTAACTATCATTATTCTAAATTTCATTGGCTATTCCTATATTGTTACCTGATTGTTTTTTAGTTTCTATTTCGTATACATATCCACCTTGTTTTTGGGGAATAAAAGTTCAGAATACATCAATGGATTTTTCTCCAAAATTGAATGATAAGATTATTAACTATCCATTCAATAAAATTTTTCAAATTTTTTTGAGGATAAGTCAACCTTTTTAGTGCTTGAATAATCATTTAATATACGGTAAAAAATTTCCATAATCGGAAGCTAAATTAATTTTTTTTAAAAAAAAATTGGAACTATGATCAAACAAACATTCGATCCGTAAAAAAAAAAAAAAAAAATGGAAAAAAAATTAATTAAAATACCCTAAAGAAAATAGCCTCTAGACAAAGTCTGGCAATCCGAAAGAACATCATTGTAATATATTTTATGGTTTCGGAGTCAACTTCTTGATATTCTTCTAATAACATGACATAATTTTAACGATAGTTTCATTCGCGAATTTATTTTCAAACTTTTAAAATATGGCTTTATAATTAATATTTTGATTTTGTTCATTCTCGCTACTCTCGTCATGCTCGTCGTTGGCAACTTTTGAACCAAAATTGTCTTCGGTTGTATGACTCGTTTCATTCTTCCTTATCCGAGGTCGCGATTTCTTATAATCCATATATTTATTTGATTTCGCATAATTCTCAAGCAATTGTAAAAGAACGTGAGCTGCAGCGGTTACACTCTGCAAGTATTCAATTGAACGAGAATGAGGCTTGTATTCTCTTACAAGTTCGGTAATTATTTCCAAATTCATCAATTCGCGATAAATCTCTAATTGCAATTCATCGGCGACCCACTTTTCGCACACGTCTTTCGAGATTGTCAACATTTTGATAGTCAAGAAAATTTGTTTTAAATATTCGACTACAAAATGAAGTTCAGACCATAACTCTCTCTCTCAGATCTTATCATTCTAAACGTCAATTGAATTCCACCCCCATTCATGATTTTGGCGACGATGAAGATCCTTTGGGTTCGATTCCGTCCGTGATGATGGAACACGTATATCCTTGGACTTCAATAACAATAGTAATTCAAGGAAATAACACACGATATATGAATAATGCACCATAGTTTGCGGAAACCTCAACGTATTCACCATTGATCAAGTCCTTTTTGAATGGGTCTTCCTTTATGTAATTTAAGACTTCTTGATGGTGCATTAATTAAATCTTTTTTTTTTTATCCATTCTCGTAATTGTTCAGGTTGAATATTAAATTTTCTGCATGTTTCACGAACACCAAATTCATTTCTTCATAAAATGCAACTATTTTTAATTTTCTCGAACATACCAGTTTCTTTTTAATTTTTTGTTATGCGTGCTTTCAAAGCATTTCTATTGCTGATTAAAGCCATTTCAATTTAGATTGTTTTTTTTTTGAAAAAATTTTGTATTTATAAATTGCAAAACCAATAATAATAAAATCATAATAATGTTTCTTTGAATCAAAAAAAGGTTTAGTTACAAAAATAATTATTAAATTTCTTGATCGTTTATTCGATTATTATTATTAACGAACGATAATTAATTCTCAGTACCATTAAAATACCTGCGGAAAATATTTTATTTTCAGGGGTGGATATTTTAAATAACGATTTACGGTATTTTGTTTAGAGAAATGCAAACCAATTAGAAAATCTAAAGGACGCCAAGGCCACCAGTCTTGTCTAAGATCTAAGTACACCCTCTGACAATAATAACCGGAAACTCAATAATAATTGAAATTAATAAGAAAATTTTTTTTATTAATAAAATCGACTTTGACGCTCAAAGTAAACTTAACCATTGTAATAACTAGTATATATCTTGACAATTGAACTTTAATAAATTTTAAATTCTCAAATTTAATTTAAAAAATCGCATATTTTGTGAAAATTTCAACTATAATAAAACTGCAAATTTTTGGATAAAGGTTATTATTTATTTTAATTGCCTAATTAATTTAGGCTGCATTATGATGATCATATTTAAATCTAGAATATTTACAATAATTTATTTAATTGCTAAAATAACCAAGATAACTAAACCAAAAAATTTGCAGTTTATTGTAGCACAAAATATACAATTTTTTATTAGTTGAATATTTGAGTTTTCCGGTCATTTTCTTCATGGGAATGTACATATTAGATTCCTACATAAATTGAAGCGAGTGTGCAAATGAGCCAAACAGGAGAACAAATTACCGTATAATATTGTTATTTTTGAAGCATCATTTTAACTTTTTATTAACTGGAATTTTGCTTTTATCAGTTGTAAAATTTTTTATTTTTAGAATTTTTCAAAGTTTCACTATTTTGTACCATACGACCTAAATTTCTTTCAGGGATGAAAAAGGTTGAAACTTTTAAATCATGTTTATAGAATGAGGAAAAAAAAAATTTTTTTTTTTTTTTAAAAGTCAAGGAATCGAATCACTAAAATTAAATAAATAGGTAACTACCCATATTTGGTAAATTTGATTTTCCCTCTTTTCAATATAGATCCCCATATTTTCGGTAAAATTTTCACCGATTATACACGTTTTAATTCAATTTAATTTTGAAAATTTATGTACGGAATTTTGCAAGCGCATTTCGATACTGTTTGTACATGAGGCGTCAATGTTCGAGAACCACCATAATTGAAATTTTTAAAATATAGATTATTAATATGTTTCGTATTTTTTCTCACTTTTCGTTCTCCTTTTTGGATTTACATGTGATTTCCCATCTTATATAGAATAGGCTTAGATATCTCCTAAAAATGACCATATTGGATCTTTACAATAGAAGGGAAAACTATTCTACGTGAAAAAAGGAAAATATCTAAAAAGGATTTGCTTGTGGTAAGTATCATTTGTTCGCGAGTAATATTACAGTATATCATACAATCCACCAAATTTGGAAATTGCCGATCCGTTAGAATGAATATAAGTGATGTTTAAATCCCATTACTTACTAATATCCAACATGTTCTCAAAATTGCCTACTGAATGTCTTTTGGAGATATTAAAAACGCTAAACTCACATCATAATTTATATCAATGTATCTTGGTAAACCGAGCATGGTGCAATGCTGCCATACCACTAATCTGGAGTGATCCTTGGAAACATGTTTACGAATATTATGATGAAGAAGAGGAGGATGAGGAGGATCTATCGGAATTGCTACTTTCAACATTTATTTCATGTTTGTCAGAAGAAGACCGTAACGTTTTAGTTGATTCCGGAGTAATTTTAATGGATTGGATGAAAAAAGGAACGTGCTTTGATTACCCGGCCTTTTTAAGACATCTCAACTTTAACGATATTAGTTATGGCGTTAAAAGATTCATTTCGAGAAACGTTGGAAAATATGATTTGAACTTGACCAATTTTCTCATTGAGAGAATTGGGAGTTTGTCCGTAAAAAAAGTTAAAAGGCTTGATTTTCTTGGATTTATTGATCGGTTTAATCGAATCACTCCTCATATCGATTATTCATCTTTTATGTTAAAGATTTTGCCTGAGGCGACAATCGCTCTCGGATACGTTAGAAAATTCGTCCTTAAAGGAGATATAAAACCTGAATTCTTTTATGATTTAGCAAATCGTTGTAGATCGATTGAAGATTTGGAAATCCACGATATCTTTAAGGATAATGACGGTTTGGCATATCTTATACGTTCTCAGAAATCTTTACGCAGTTTCTATCTAGAAGCTACAAACAAGAAGAAAACCTTTGAAATTACTAGTATTCAAAATGCTTTTATAGGTATTGACTCATTGATTTGCCTTCGAATGAAGGACAAATTATTACCGTTAAAATTATTTCTAAATTGTACTGGATTACAAAAATTACATTTGGATTCAATAAAAGATGATGTTCAGGATATGGAGGAATTTGTTAATCATGTTTTTCCGGAACTAAAAAACTTGCGAATTCGTGTTAAAAATATTTCAATTAATCACATCTCTTTATTAATCAATAATACGCGAGGACATATAGATGAACTTTGTATCTATGGGAAGGTTAAAGACCTAGAAAATGCTTTTAAGTTCCGTGACTCGCTTGACAAGAAGTGCACGAATTTATGCACTTTAAGTCTTGCTTTCCAACATATAGAAAATTTCATTCCATCATTGCCAATCCTTTTTAAAACCTTTAAATATCTTAAATATCTTGATTTGATGTTGTCCGTTTCCGAAAATCAACGTAACATTGGGGAAGATTTGGTTGAAATCGCTCCGCATATCCAAAAACAACTAGATTATATTCATTTTCCGAAAAACTGGTATTGTGATGAGGAGTCACGGAAGAAATTTTTTAATATTTTAGACAGAAATGATTTAGATATTATGATGCGTTAGATTTTATTAGGGTGGATTTTTTTTTTTTATTTTATTTATTTTATTTTATTTTTAATTTATTTCTTTATTTCTTTCTTTGAATTCTTTATTTATTTCTTTTGTATTTTTGATTTTTCTATATTTTTATTTTTATTTTTGGATTCATGCGTAACAAGAAAAAAAGGGTTACATTACAAATATCCATAAAGAAGTTTTAATGAAAACTATGTATTTAAAAGGTCATAACACAACATATAATCACAAGGTCATTTGATTTATTTAGGAGTTAAGATCGAATTAAATACCCGGAGTATAAACCGAGCCTTCCATTTTTGCCACAAAAAAAAAAGGTTTTATTTCGGTTTTTTTTTTTTTTTCTTTTTCGTTTTTTAAAGGCGAAAAATTAACGAAAATCATACTTAAAAGATCTTTATATTTATTTATTGATTTTATTTATATTTGTCAAAATTAAACGAAGAAATGCAGAAATAGATATTTACATATAACCTTTTTTAACACCACAAAATGAATCTATATTAATGTTGTATTATTGTTCTAATTGTTGTTGTTGTAAGTACAGTATATTAAGTAATGAATATAGCCTTGTCATCAATAGGGAAACCTAATTTTTCCAAACTCCTTCTGATATTATCGTTAAATAGACTACTACCGCACACGATCAACTTAATTTGAGTAGCATCGGTGGATAATGATTTCATATAATTATGACGTTCGTTTAACATTATCATTTCATTTGTTTGATGTGATAATGCATTATTATGTAAAGGTGAAAAATAATAAGGTATATATTGTGAATTGGAAGAATAAGGACGAGGGTTAGATGATGATTGTGTTGATGAAACTTGTATCGGAGGAGGTAATACTCTATTAGGTGCACGACGATGTTGTGGATCATATTGATTCTCATCATTATTATAAATCTGATCTTGGCCATCATGTTCGACGACTTCTACAATGTCATGAAATTGATCGTTATTCGAATTATTCGCACCTGATGTAGTATGATGATGTTGATAACTATTGCTTATAAGGGTGCTTGCGCTTAATACACTTCCACTTCCACTTGCGACACTTAACCTTGGTGGAATGGCTGGTGGAGGTGCGGAATAATTTTGACTAATCCAATCATACAATAAAGTTTCATCGATCATTCCAGTTAACCCCCTCCAAATTGGTGGTGGTTTCGATAAGATATAAGTAATTTTAAGTTTCCCTTTAAGTATTTGACATAAATAATCTAAATACTTTGGTTGAATCAAATCCGCTATTGTGTCATTCGCATTTAATAAATATAAATTGAAATTTGCATTGGCCGATTTATCCAAGTGATATTGTATCTTTTATATTAATAGAATTAAAGAAAATAAATAAATAGTCGGTATCATAAAATAAACGGATGAACATCGGAAAAAAAAAAAAAAAAAGAGAGTTGGAACTTACCAATTGTAACATTGGGGTAATTCCAGTACCACCACAAACCATGAACAAATGTTCCCAACATAAATCATCTCTTTCTTTATTTAATAATATTCCACTCCTACCATCAAGTAAACTGTTCATATTATCGACACCAATATTACTATTTCCAATACCACTATTATTCAATGAGGGTTGATTAAATGATCGATTATCGCGTCCTCTAACATTGCTACCAGTAGAAAATGCACGAATTGGTGACAATGCTGTTGAAGGTGATGATGGTCTACTAATTATTGAGCCCGCTTGTTGGATTGGCGGGGAATATGGTGCATTTAACACTCTATCCGCTATGTCAAACGGTCCTCTCACTTTGATTTCAAAATTCCTCAATTGTCGATTCTAAATTACGGATGAATGGAAAAAGGATAATTATAAATAAATAAATCAAAGGACATACACATATATTAATCAACAAATTCTAACAATCGTTCAAATTTTCTTACCAAATGTTGAGACATGACACCGTCTTTATATATTTTAACCAATATACAAAAACTATTGTCAGTTGGTCCTTGAAGTGGGGTATATGATCTAATAGCCACTTGATTATTAGCATAACTCATGATTTCAATATAATCACCGGGAAGAAATCTTGGTAATCTGTCTTTTGGATGGATAACTTGAAACGTGAATTTTTTAACGGGTCTTTCAGCGTCATATCTAGATGCTGTTTCAATATTTGTTAAAATATAACGACGGAAAATATGAGGAGAATGTTGATGTGGTAATTCGGATAACAATTCAGTTTTATGTAATGATATTGATGGTGGTCCTTTGATATTCATGTCTTCTTCAGAATCCAGGATCCTTGCTATTACCATAGTAGCCAACTTTGATGTTGCAAATTTGGAATGTCGGTGCATTGCTACCCTACGATGTCTGAATGCAGTAGAATTAATCATGTCAACCGCATTTGCCATATTGTAAGGTTTATGCTTCGTTTCATGTTGCCTTTTGTCCTTATAATTGTTATCTGTGAGTACTGATATGCTACTCTGCTGTTGTTTATCATCATATTCATTACTAAAGTTCCGATTGATCACTGTTACAACTGATGGATCGAAAAAGAAGTCGTTGGTAATATCTGTCCCAATGACACGCTGTAAGATCTTTTGTCCACCTGGATGTATTGGAATCCATTTATGGATATCAAATACTAACCCTTCCGCTATAACAAGGCTAGCTCCTGTCATAACCCTTTGATTAAATTCCTATATTAAAATACATTAAATTCATTAATAATTTATTAAAAAAATTTTTAAAAAAAAAAAATTCCCATTAAATATTATACATACGCTCCATGTTATGGCGGGTAAATGTTCATAAAATTTATGAGGAATACAAGCACGGATACGTTCCGATGAATCATCGGTTTGTCTTACGGGCCATAAGAATTGCATATTTTTAATCTTGTAATAAAATTCGCTTGCGGTTATCACAAATCCAATTAAAACTTCAAAACGCGAATTTTGTTTTAAAAAAATAATCATAAATATGATTGGTAAAAATTTAAAAGCGACATAAAGTTATCTTTCTTTATAATACTTACTTAACCATACTAAATAGGTCCAAATATATGCTTCATCCGCGCCATATTTAATCAATCCCAAGAATATTTGCGTCCTGCAAATCAAATAAATAAGAATCCAAAATCTAAATGCATGACGAAGAAACTCGATTATAATTCAAAATAAAATTTACCATGCAGCTATAAGTACGGTAGCCCCCAAGTAAAAATGTAAATGTTTTAAATGACGAACGACCCCAGTAGCTGCTGATTCGACATTAGCCAACCCCCAAATCGCCAATAAACCTAAGGCAATTTGAAATGCCATAACCGTAAAGATTATTAATCCCAAACTGATTTTTTTTAAAAAAAAGGGAGAGTTAAAAACAATTATTATAAAGTAGAAAGGAAGTGAATCAACCACTTTTAACTTACATTGCATGAGGACTAGCTGCATGCACATCTACTGCCGACATGGCCACTGCTCCAAATGTAGCTACTATGGCGCCACCAAAGAGATTCAAATTTCGATGTTGCGACATATATCTAATCAGGAAATTAAACGGCATAAATTTATTCGCTTATTATTACTATTATTTTTTTTTTTTACCAAAAAAAAAATTCCACTTACGAGTCTTTATGCCTCAAATATCTAACAATCCATACTGAACCTATGATAATTCAAAAAAAAAAAAAAAAAACTTAGATCTTGCAAAAGTACGAGTTTTTTGTAACAGTATTTTTTAATCTTACCTGGGAATAGAATTCCCCAAATTATAAACATGACAATCCCGTGCATTAACAATAATTTTCTTTGTTTGGAATATGAGTTTGAAGTCTCTCCCGTTTTGAAATTTATTGTTTTTTTACCCCGATTTCCGCCATGATAAGTTAAAACATTTGAAGTAGGATTCCAAGCGTAAACCACTAAATAAATCAATAAAAAACGCATTAACATCATTAGAAAAGAAGATAATCTTTAGTATTTATATTCTCATTATTCTACATACTTTCAATAGAACCATCGATAGATTTTCGATTTTTAGCATTCAGAGGCCGCTTAACCAGAACTTGAGTTATACCATTTTCAACCTTTGTCTTACTATCCAATATTGTCAAAATTTGATCATTATCGGGTAATTCCTTAGGTCTAATTGCACGTCCGATACCTTTGTAATTCCTCCCAACCACACTAGGTTTATTATTGACATCTTGATTGTAAAATATCATCATATCGGTATCTAACATAGCAGCTTCAGTATCAGGATTAAATCCTATTCCGAACCATGAATTTTCACTATTCATTGTAATCAAGAAGGTAATATCAGAACCTTCCACAGTCCATTGAAGATTAAATCCATCAGCAAGCGTATTAGAACCCTTAAACTCTTTATTATCAGGTTTGGTTTGTGGAATAGGCGGTTGTACAAACCAAAGATTTTGCGGATATGTTACATATTGTGGGGTATTTCTTTCAAAAATTTGTAATAATGTTGTTTTCTGTATTATTGATAACTCATCCTTGCTAAATCCTGCATCTTTACTTTCATACCAAAATCTATCAGAATCTCTTATCTTTGACCACGATTCAACAAAACTTTTTGAAAATAATTCCCCATAATTTCCTCCATTAACGTGATCTTCGGCCAATCCACCCATAAATGCCTCAACTCGATCTATGGTTCCATATGTTTCTTCTAATCTTTTTTGTACTTCGGGATCGCTTGAAATTTCTGCCCAAGTTAATTTTTTTGATAAACCAAATGCTACTCTTGCATCATTATATGATGGAATACCGTGATCTCTACCTCGAACCAAATCTAATCTAAAGAATAAATAAATAAGGGTAGATTAGAAATATAAATGTCATGATATATCAAAATCTCATTATAAACGTTAACTTACGCAGTAATATCCACATATATTGGTCTACTAAAATAATGCCGCCTATCATGAAATTTTTTTTAGTTGATATAGTTATAGATATTGTTACATTTATCACAGTAAAGCAAAA